CCTTCCCCTGGGGAAACACGATGCCAAGGGAAGAGCTTTAGCACCACGAGCCTTCCCCTGGGGAAACACGATGCCAAGGGAAGAGCTTTAGCACCACGAGCCTTCCCCTGGGGAAACACGATGCCAAGGGAAGAGCTTTAGCACCAAGAGCCTTCCCCTGGGGAAACACGATGCCAAGGGAAGAGCTTTAGCACCAGTGAGGGGAGATGTCATCCCAGAGTAGGCCAAAAAAACACCCACTCAGCTTGAAAAATAAACCTGCTGGTGTTAGTGCCTGGCAGTTGTGCAAGTGTATGATGTGCAGGCCATATACTGGCAGCATGGGGAAGCCAGGCTTTTCTTGGGGCAAGGAGTTTGATGGTTGTGCTAGCCATCCTCACTTCCTTACCACTGGCTGTAGAAGTAGCCAGAGGGGAAGAGCTAAATTTAGCCAGGTTGGTGAATCAGTTCCCCCCCCACAACCTGGCAAAAATCTGTGCCAGCAGCAGGCTTATAAGCCTGGTGACAGGTCAGCTAGCTTTATCTCAGATGAAGGTTGGATTTTGGCTTAGTGGAGTTTGGGTTTTTTGTTGTTGTTGGGGTTTTTTTTTGTGTGTGTGGGTTTTTTTTTTTTCAAGGCAGCTGTGCTGTGGCATGATTCGTTGTGAAGGAGAAGCAACCCAGGATGCAGCAGTAAAGCACTGCTGAAGAGCAGCAGGACTTTCCAGGACAGGCACACAGGACTTTGTCTGTAGCTGTTGCAGATGCACTCACTAACCTCAAGGGTGGAGGCAACCCTCTGGTGCCAGAGAGGGCCTGTATGGGGGACAAGCCCTTCCCTTTTCAATCTCTAGCAACTTGTTTTAAAGCAAAGATGACACTCTGTCTTGGAAACCATTAATTTTTACACCAGGAGAACAGCCAGCATTCCATTAAGAGGCGTACACAGAGAAAAACTTCACTGCAGACCAGCTCTTTCTTTGCTATACATGGGTGGAGGGGCTGCTGCTCAAGCACCATCAGCCCCTCATCCAGTGCACATGGGGCACTTGTCCCCAAAGAACAGCCTCCAGCAGCCCACGCATGGCTGGCAGCACGAGGAGCAGGGCGATGGCTCTGGCAGCCACACAGGCCCTTACACAGGGGACTGTCTCAAATGTGTGCAAACAGAAACAATCATGACCATGACATCTGCCCTAGCCCCAGCCCTTGGGTGCTGGAGTGGAGGAGCCAGCACAGCATGGACAGGAACAGATGGAACAGAGACAGAGACTACAGTCATTCCAATCTTCACCTCTTTGCTCCAGGATTCCCTGGTTTCCAGCAAGAACCATGGACACTTTTTTACAGAGCTCAATTTGTGACCATGGGGAACAGAGGGGCACCTGGGTCATGAACTAATGGGAAGCACTGAAGTGCCTTTGCTCATCATCATGAATCAGCTCTTGGGTGCCTTGCACTGGGGACAGCCCACCAGTGCCAGCTGTGGCCTGTGGTTTGGCTGTGCCCACCTGGATGCCAGCAGGCAGCTGCTACCAGCAGCCAGGCACATGGGAAACCAGTTGGATGTAACTTTGGAATTCCCTCCTGCTGGTCTCCAGGGTGAACCCAGCCATGCACTCAACTCAGCACCTCTTCTGCTGCCCTGGGGACCCTGCTCCAGTGCAGGACGCAGACACCTTTTGGATTCACCTGGTTTATTGAATGCAAACAGAAGGCAAATAACTGGGACACAGAAGAGTTGTAATCTGACTTTGGCCTCTGATTTTCCTGTGCACAAAGGTGGAAAAAAAAATAATTTCTGTGTATTTAAAAAAAAAATCCAAACAGTGAAACAGGAGACAAAAAGAATGTAGTGGCAGCTCAGAGGATTAATAATGGCAAGGAAATTCAAAGCCATACCTAACATTCCTTACTGCAAACAAGATTTGGCAGGAGGGTAGGGACAATGCTTTCCAAGGAAAAGGAGCAGAAGAGAAACCATCCTCACTGGCTTTGTGAGCAGCATGGTTTACTTGGGGAAGACGGTGACCACCTCGTAGCCCTCAGGGGGAACCACCCGCTCCCGGGCATGCTTCTCACAGTAGATCTGGTCTTCCACAAAGAAGTGTCCTTTCTGCTTCAGGTTGGTGCCACAGTCGCTGCACACATAGCACTCAGGGTGGCGTTGCTTGTCCCGGATCTTCACAAACACCCCTCTGGGGAAAGAACCAGCACCTTTCAGCACCAAGTACCCACCACTGCCTCCTTCCTTCCCAGACACCTCCCACCCAGTCCACCCCCACACCAGTGCTGGAGGTGGACAATTTTCTCCTGCTCCACACAAGCCAAAGTATAGACCCTACTCAGGGCAGGCAGGTTTTAACAGTGCTTTTAGAGCCCAGCGTGTGCTGGCATGGGAGCCCTCCTCTGGAAAGTGCTTCCTAGCACAGGCCTGCCTAAGTGTCACAGGGACCTAGCATCTATGGTGCCAAGAATCGCTGTGATGGCATCTTTAGCTGATGACTGGACACAGCACAACAGCCTTCAAATGCCCAGGATCCAATGACAGGCATCAGCTCGACCTTCAAATGCCCAGGATCCAATGACAGGCATCATCTTGACCATCTGGGGGATCAACTTTGAGTCTCAACACACTGTATGGTAGAACAAATTCAGAAACAACTGTCACCACCAACCGAGGGGGATGAAAGCTGCACAGACAGCCACTGCCCTTTTGCTAGGGATGGACACACCAGCTATGCATGGGAGAAGCACAGCGACCAGATCCTGGCTCTGAACTCAGACCTTGCTGCTCAGGAGTTGCAGTGAACAGATCCAGACAAATGTGGGCTAGCTCTTACTGGAAAGCTTCACAAGTTAACCCAGCAGATGATGAGGAAAAGTACACAGCAACTCGTTAACTACCACCAGCAGCCACACAACAATTTGCCAGGAGTACCATTTTGTTCCAGCAGCCATCTAGATGTTCCATAATTCATTAGTTTTTTAGTGCTATTCATAGCCTTGTGCTTCCTCTCCAGATCTACCCAGCGGGTAGAATAATTGTAGAGTTTGCCTCTGATTCATATTTTACAGGCCACAGATAACCTCTGTAATGACTCTGCCAGTTCTTGGTGCTCCAGGGCCATGGAGTCCCAGTGTAGTGGGTCTCTGCAACAACCTGATAGCTTGTGGGGAGCATGGGAGAAAGCTGAATCCTTCCATGACAACGCAGGTGAGCTACCAGCACTTGACTGCTGGAGCCAACCGTTAAGCTAAGGGGGTTGTAGGGAAGGATTTGCAGTTGGGAAGCTGAATGGCAAATCAAAGACAGAGGTTAGGTCCTTCATGCTGCTACACTTACGGTACAGCAGCCCTCTATCAAAGCCCTGCCTCTGCTGGAAGTTGGCCAAAACAACATAAAGACAACAATAATTATGTCTGTATAGACACAGTGGAGGCATGTGGTCCTACAGCCAGCAGGGAGCAGAACACAGTTCTCCTGGTCCACATTGCCTCTTACCATCAAAGCTAGTCACCACTCCACGGCTGGGAGTGGCCAGACATGCTAAGCCTTTAAATACACAGGCCCTGAATGGAAAGGTCACTTTGTTTTCTGCTGTAAACAGATGCCAGGTAGGAAGCAAAACACTGCAGCAGCAGCTGCCTCGAGGTTTCTCTCCTAGGGACTCGCTCTGGCTTCCAGTGAAAGGGGTCTGTCAAAGGAAACCCAACTCCTGCCTCACTGTGGGGAACTACCACGTTAGTGCTACCAAAGCTGGTGAGAACAGACGTGCCTGGAGCTGCCCCCTGGATGCAGTGGCTGTGGCTGTGGTGTTCCAGGGGCAGCGCCTCAGCCCCTCGCACAGCCACGGCACGACTGTCCTGCAACCCCAGGGACAGGCTTACTTACACAATGCCAGATCCACACTTCTCACACATGGGCAGCTTCTGGGCATTCCCAATCGATGAGGCCACCTTTGTGGTGGGGGCTTTGACGCTCCTAAATCCTGATGGTTTGGTAGGGTCTCCTGGGGGGGGAAGGAGAGGGCTTCAGGGCATGTGAGATGCGTGGCTCTTGGCTACTGCTCCCAAGCAGGTGCTCTGCTAGGGAGAGGTGAGGTTGTTTCACCCCAGTTCAGAGGCAGAGATTCATGCATGAAAAGCAGGAAGGGATTTAGAGGTGTGCAGGGAGGAGGGAGAGAAGGGACACAGCTGAACCTGGCCCTGGAAAGTCAAGGGCCTGAGACTGTGGGCAGTCACATGAGAGTCTCTTCTCATCTCAAAAGTCCATGAGATTTCAACTGATGTCTCACATGCACAGATGCACAAAGCAAAGCAAAGCCCCAGCCCTGGACTTGGTAGCATGAGAGTCTGCCTGCTGTGTCCTCATGACACATGCAGGGTCAAGCTGGTTGCCAGATTTGGGCTCAGAAACAGGACATGGGTGTCCTGGCAGACCAGGGAGAACTGCCAAGTCCTTTTCCAATCTGCTGTCTGGTGTATGGTAGGGCTGGCTTCCCCAAGACTCCTGAAAGTTTTGGTTAATGAACTTCTTGTTCTTGCAGGGCTCTGCAACACGAGGGATAACCTTGTGCTCTATGCTGCTGAGTAGCATGCTCAAAGTATCTCCCTAGTGCAACCTTTCTAGGGCAGGAATGTCCTGCAGTTCCCTGGCAGGAGACATCTGGATGCCTACAATGGCAGTGGATCCTAGATGCAGGATGCAAGGCAAGCCTTTAAATATCTTCAGTGTAAAATGACCCTCTTGCAAAATAACACCATTGATGTGACTAGTTTTATCTGTACAGCTTTTGCAAGAGGTTCAACACCAGGCAAAAGGGGAAGGAGAGCTGCAGACTGGCATGATGTTTCACCAGAAACAAGGGGGGTCGATGGGCACCTTAGAGTGGGAGGGAAACTGATAAAACCCTTCTGATTGGTGTTAAACCAAGAGCACACTGTGTTGGTTGTTCCTGGTGTAAGGGCAGGAAAAACACTCCAAAAGCACACCCTGTTGACCAGCAAGGTCCAGGACACATCACAGCCCAGGGAAGATCACTGACAGAAGAGCTGAAGTAAAAAGAGGGGAGATGCCCGTCTTGTCACCTCTGCTCACCTGTGGGGCAGGTGACACTGTGCTGCTTTCCTTTGGGGCAGCCTTCAGCTCTGAGGTTTGCACCCAGCTCCATGCAGAGATGCTGCTCCAGGGGTGCAAGTTCCCTGATGGGAACTACAGCCCACACACCCTCCAAACACAGCAGGAAGCACCTGGCCTCTGACAGAGCCACTGCAAGTGACCCCGCTGGGAAGGAAGCTGCAGCAGCCACGTTTTCAGGCTCATACCAACAAGGCTGACAGCACATTTTTAAATCTCTCGAAAGCAAACAGCTTAATCAGCCAGCCACAGGAAACATAACTCGTTGCACCCTGTGAAACACCCTCCACCTCTGAGTGCAGGGTCAGGTCTAAACACAGACCAGCCACGGTGCGTCCGCACACGGCGCCCCTGTCCGGGGCCAGGCTCGCGGGGACACGCTCGGGGATGCTCCAAGGGACTTGTCCCAGCTGGGGAGGTAGTTCCCTGCTGCTGCTCTCAAGCCATGGCCTGAGGACAGGCCGGGAGAAGCAGCCAGCCACCAGCGAGCTCCGGGTGGCCGGGGTGAGGCGTGCAGGCAGGAGCTGTGTCCCTGTGGGGACAGACGCTCCCGCTGGCCCTGCGCCGCAGCAGCGACTGGCAGCTCACAGTGCAGTCGTGACAGAGCCTATCCTGGCCTCTGACCAGGCAGGCAAACCTCGTGCCAGAGAATCCCAGTAATGCTGCAAACCTTCCAAGAAAGATAAAACAGAGAGGCTTTTGCTTCCCATCTTCTTCAGCACTACTAAGCAGCGGGGAGGAGCTCGGCTGTGTGAGACGTCCCGGCTACTCCTGTCCCTTCCATGCAGGAGCTGAACCCTGAGGGCAAGTTGCAAACACTCAATATTTAAAAGAGCTTTCCAGTAGGTATTTTAACAGCATATTAAAGACTCCAAGATCCTCCTTTCTTCCTTACTGTTGTTTCCTTATTTCCTTTGTTTTGCTGTTTCCTTACAGACCTACCAGTGCTTGGCCAATCTGTCTCCCTTTGTGGTGAATATCTCAGCACCAGGCTTTTTTGGGATGAAATTGAATGCACCAATGCCAAGCTAGTAACACAAAAGACCAAGTCTCCACTAGCCTAAGGAAAAAAAAAAATAATTCTTGGAATTCTTTTCCTATTCATTTGTTTATTTTATTTTATTTAAGGGGAGAATAGAGTAAGATTGGGCCCCCACCTAGTTAATTGGCTTTTTTAACTTACGTCTATAGCCCTGAACTGCACAAGTCCAGATGTCAGATCAAGAATGCCAAGCAGAGCCAAGTTTCAGAGGTTAAAAGCAATGAATTGCTTGCTGTAACCCAGCTTCCACATTTTTACATTCAGCTGCAGAAGCAGATCCTTTTTCTTCTGTAGAGGGATGGAGATCAGAAGCTTTAGCACTCACTGAAGAGCATTATCTTGTGGTATCTTTCAAAGTCTTGAATCAAAGATGGTCTTTAATCAGTTAATATTATCTTAAAGGGCAGAAGTTAAGAAAATACAGGAGAGGTTTTGCAACATGTAAAATTACTTCTTGATAACTGTATGTGGTAGGGTGTTATGTCTTGAGCACTCCCTCCATGAGTAAACAATGATATGGGCCCACAGCCCAGTGTCTAATCAATGAGAGAAACTAATCAATGAGGGAATATTTAGAAGTCTGTGAAAGGGTCTGTAGGTTTCTGTAGAAACCACCTATATGTGCTACCTTGGACAATCAACAGCTAAGAAAGGAAAATGAAGTTTTATGTTAATCTTTATGTTTCTGTTAGTCGAAGATGTTAAACACTGGACTCAGCCCAAGGAATGGCAAAAGGGAAGAGCACACTCAGATGAGGTGTGCAGTAAGCACTCACCTTTCTCTTCTGACTCCAAAATCTCTTGCAAGACAAGGAACGAAGCAGACTGTCTGGGTGGCTCATTTGACTCTTGATTCTCCTGGAGCATCTTGTAAACCTCAGATTCTCTGTCTATGACAATGCCGCCTGGGGGCTGGGTAGGCTGATCTGAACTGAGGGAGGAAGAGAGGAAAGGCTGTTAGCTGAAGACTGACACCAGTCCCCCAGCAAAACCCTCACAGTGCACATGGCTGAAGAAAGAACGTGCACAACAAGCGCCCGACAGGCGCCACAGAACACCGAGGTGCTGGCAGCACTCACACCAGACACCTGCAGCTCTGGTGGGACTGGCACGCCGGGCTACCCACCTATGCCAGGCTGGAGGGGCTCTCACCAGCTGGCCCTGGCCAGGCCCCAAGCATTCTCCCTGCCTCACAATCCTATGTACCCCCGAATCTGAGACCTGCTGCTCAAGAACTCACTGCTCTGTTAACAGGGAAATAAAGAACTCACGTGCTGGGATGGGGACCTCCCGTGGTAGCTGGGACATCTGTGCATGTTCCTTGTGTGCTTTAACTACCTTAGACTCCTACCTTACACCCCTGTGAATCTCAAATTAAGTGAAGTTTATTCCATGAAGTGAACTGGTCCTAAAGGATCCTTCAGAAAGTAAAACTGCTGTAATATCTAACAGAAGGAGCCTCTGACTGGCAATAACTTAATTTGGTTTTTGAGTGTTACTATTTCCATTTTATAGGTGGAGACTCTGAGGCACAGCCCATTTACAGCATTTACCCAGGATTAAAGAGCAGGTCAAGGGCAGAGGTGATTTCTGCCCTCCATTCAGCTGCCTCCTGAGGTGCTGACACTGACACTCTGTCACAAGGGGCTTGCACCCTCAGCCTAGACCCCGAGGTACTGCAGGGGCAGCTTTCCACAGTGCAGGGTGGCTGAAAGGGTGGTCATTGTGTCCAGGGAGTGGGTGAGGAAAAGATGCTGGAGGCAGTACATAGGGTGTTCTCTGCATCCAGGATAAGCTACAGGTTTAAAACTGCAGGAACAGGCTTGGAATATTCCTTGGGAAATGCTTTCCAGCAGACAGGCACTGGAATACTAAAGAAGATTCCCATGGACAGGTAAGCAACCTCTATAATAAAGGACTTTTAAAGAGTATGGACAAATATCCACTGGGAATGATTTAAATCACTAGTTTAAATTGGTCAAATGTTGAGCTTTCAGGGGATTAACTAAATGACACGAGGTTCCTGCCTGCCTTGTATTCTGTGGATGGAATAAAACATCTCTGGAAAACTGAGACAACTGACAGGTCTCCTCTGACAGCTCAATTCCATAATGCAGCCTTATAAATGTAAATGGTCTATTAGGTTTCCCCATCCCTGCACACTGTGATTGTCTCAGAAGTACACAAACATCCTGAAGTTCAGACTAAGTTGCAGAGAGGAATCATTTTCCTGAGGAGGCAACTGTATACTTTCCATGCCAATGTGCAATGGAGTCATCTGGGAGTTACTCTACATAATAAACTCCTCAAGCATCAGAGGTAAAATCATCACGTTATAAAATGCTACCTCCATAAAAAGAATTTCATAAAATGTTTCCACCTTCAGTAATTTTCAGTGGAGCAGGAAGAACATCAGCCTTGCAAGTAGCTGAACCCTTGAAGCATGAATCTTATTTACTAAAGCCTCTCATCTAAAATAACCATGTGCCTTCTATTACACAGAAAATGTCCTAGGATATCCCAAATGAATCCATGCTCCACATTACATTCCTCTTAAGTAAACTCATATGCTCCCACGGCTCTATTCACCCATAAAAACATGAGGCAAGAAGCTTGTCATTGCAGTTTGCATACTCAGAATGTTTCACCAACATGCATTCAAAAAGCAAAGGCTAAATAGTCTTAAAGAATCAAACAAAGCCATCCCATTTCAACCATGCATTGTGACAGTATGCAAAACATATAGATAGCTCTCCCAGGTATGCACCCTATAGATACACTTCCATACACAAGACTTCTGAAAGATCATAAAAAAGCCAAAATCCTAGAATTTGTATCAGCAGAGTGAATACCTGTATTGTCAAGGCAGAAGGCTATGCTGCTTAAAGACAAACAAACACAAAACCCCATCAACCAACCAAAAAAGCCCATGCATCTTCTGAATGGGCCAGGCCACAGGCACAGGAATTGTGCCTGCAGGACATGTACTTTATCTGCAACAATCACCAGCAGCCGATGTCCTTTTCCATGCAAAGGAGTTCCCCAACACAGAAACTTGGTAGGGGACAACTCCAACGACCCTTAATGTATTTCAGACTCACACAACCATTACTGGATTTCCCTGCTTCTACCACATGGATTGAATAGCACTGGATCACTGAGCTTTGAAAACTGGCAAGAAGATAATAATAAAAGCCAATAAAAACACAGCCTTGCACAGCGTTTTCAGAAAAGCACAGCTGATTCTTTACGAAGAAAGATGGAATTAAGCTTTTTTCAGTGATGACCTGTGATAGGACAAGGGGTAATGGGTGCAAATTGGAGCATAGGAGGTTCAAGGTGAATATCAGGAAAAATTTTGTTCCTGTGAGGGTGCCAGAGCACTGGAACAGGCTGCCCAGAGAGGTTGTGGAGTCTCCTTCACTGGAGTCATTCAAAACCCTCCTGGACGCCTTCCTGTGTGATGTACTCTAGGTGGTCCTGCTCTGGCAGGGGGGTTGGACTAGATGATCTTTCGAGGTCCCTTCCAACCCCTATGATTCTATGATCTATGATACAAATGTCATTTTACTGTTTTATGCTAGCACATTTTGTAAAGGTTACAAAGGTGAACTACAGGAAGGCCCAGTACTTGGAGCACTCACTTTTGCAGCAGAACAATTGCTGATGCCTGGGGCTCCTCTGTGAGTGTCATCAGCTGTCTGGACCAGCACAGCCAGCCAGCAGAGCATGACTGCTCCTGGCATGCACGTACTTGCTACGAGCCAGAGCAGCCACTGACAGCAAGTAACTGGAACATGTAGCAAGGCAGGAGTAAATCCACAGCCTCCTATTCTATTATCTCTTGGCTGCTGGCACACAGCAAAGCGTGGCTGTATGGGTCCGTTGGTATGAATGCAAACTTCTCTGCTTTGAAGTCCATGATACTCAGACCAAGAAAGGACAGTCAGCAGCCAAGGGGCTGCAAGGTCTGGCTGTGCCCTTTATCCCAAAAAGTCCACGGGACTGACCGCCTCCCTCGACCGCAAGTCACACTGGTGCAAGCTGCTTGGTCACACAGCAAGGTAGCTGCTGAACGTTCACATCTTCTGAAACAACTCAGCCTCGATTGGATCCTTCCTGCCAGATGGCTAAACATGCTTTCTGCTTCACCTGTCTTGATGCTGAAGTTCTCCCTGCAAAACCCTGTGGGCTGTCATTTAGAGGCACAGATGAGCTGGTTCCCAACTGCCACAAAGAGCAAATACCAAAGACCACCCAGGCCTTGTGATGCTGAGGCTCTCCACTGGTCTTGCAGGCCTTGGAGCATGTTGAGCATCCTCTGCCCTATGGGCAAAGAGGCAGCCCCAAGACCAGCAAGCTGTGCACACAAGTGGGCAGGGGTGGGAACACAGACCAGGTCCTCCATGCAGCTAGTGCCTGTCCAGGCTGCTCCAAACTCATTAGTGTTATCTGTCAGCCAAAGACAGAGACCTATAGGAATCTGCTTCAGCCTGTAATGAAACACGCCCAGTGCATGCCCATGGCCCAGCCCACAGCCAGCAGAACAAAAGCACAAGGACACGTAGCAGCATCTTCCAGTTGCAAACAACAATGGTTGTTTCAATGCAGGATAAAGGCCAGTTCTCAGAATAAAGCACCCTCCTGCCCCCAGCCAATCCATCTGCTGCCGGTGTCTCCTCCACGAAAGCCACCAGCTGCTGTCAAGGCCCTGCTGCACGGGCATGACGGGGACAACGGACACCCTGACAGGCTGAAATGATGTTTTGGTGCTTCCCATGGCATCGGACACAGACTCAATGCAAAGAAAGCTCCTGTGAAGTCATGCACGAGTGTTGGAAAGACGAAAAGCGAACACCGTTTTCTTTGTGACCGGCCAATGTCATGAGCCACAGACAGGGACGAGGCACTCGTGGACACCGAGATGTG